AAATCAGTAGCAGGCCACGAATGCCAAGTGGTCAGCTTCTAGGAGGCGTGGTGGCACGGTGCCTTAGTCGACGGCTTCGATTGCGGACAAGTTCTACTGAGCAGAAATTTACCACGCTTTGTCACGGATCGGTGTAGCTCAGTCGGTAGGGCGTCGAACTCAGAAACGATGGGCCCCGTTTACCATTTGGTGAGAAGGAAACAGGACTGTACACATTGCTTGCCTCATACCTGATATCGACTCTGCTCGGAAAATAAGCCATCACTGCTTGGAGATTAAAATCAGCGCTTGGCCTTTGACTCTATAAAAGCAAACGCCCAGCAAATGGTCTTCGTTTGAAAGTGTGACGAAAGGTATACTGTAATAATTACAAAATCTCCTTCCTTTCGTTTTCTTTCGAACAGCCTTTAGCAGCGTTGGCTACGATTGTGCATAAGATGATCTATGATCTACTGCATGCGAAAAGACTGGCTGTTCGGCATAAGTTAAGTGTTCAGAGATTAAAAGCTGACATTCGGTCGATCATATAGATAAAACTGGTCAACTCTGCTCGGTTCATCTCCATTTTGCATAGCAACACAATAAGATAGAGGCAGAGACAGGTAGCTAACGAAAGTATGTTGTCAGCAAGCAGTTCCGTTGTCGGTTCACCGAACCTCTTCAAGATTGAAAAGTTTTTAGCAGGTAAACCTCACGTAAGTTAAGCAGTTTATAATTTGAGGGATGAGGGATCTGAAAACGACGAGGACGGCATAGCAAAACAGCCGAAAGATGATCAGTTATGACAGGGCATGGACCTCGTCTTTTTTATGCCGTTAGTTAATCTAAAGTCTGCTCAGATACTGGTTGCAAATTTCACCGAAAGAACGGTTTCGCCATTACTTATCATTGCATTACTGACATAAAGTATATATATATGCAGTAGTTGGTCATTTTCACTGGTTAGGACCCTCTGGTACTGATATTGCATAGTGCCATGTCACCACCTTTTTATGCGATTGCAATATGACTACGGGCGCATCAACAAAATAGCTTATCCACAAACTTTCTGTTAGATTTCAGCATTTTTTGTTTTATTTTATTCTAATTATTTGGTCAACTAACTCCATCAATTCATTACTTAATTACTACACGGGAATGTTTCATCCTAGATACTCTAGGAATTCTTTGTCTCGCAGGTGCCATGCATAAAACATCATTGTTAAAATCAAACCATATAGGGGTACAGTATTTTGAAAGCAATTATTCTATTCATCTATTAAAGTTTATGAAAGTTTTTAGAACACAGTGGTACCTTGTTAACTGCAACTGGTATTATTATGTAACACGATTACTTCATTACCATTTGGTGTCTGCAGCTTTGGAGCATCCGTTCTTCCTTTGGTCTGTCCCGCTGTAGTTTTGGAGGTTACAGGTCTCTGTTTTACAAGAGGGCCAGTGTTAGGGGAACAAAGACCGTTTGCCTCCTTTCGCGTGTATCCCGCTTCCGTGCACTCTTGGTTACCACTTTCATAAGGTGCTTGTCCAATCCAGTTACCCCTGAAAAATGATTTGCCAAAAATGTATGTTTCCTATCTTAACAGAAGGACACCAAGGCGACCGTCATGCTTACATTGGAGAGTAGTTGCATACGAAATAAGCGTATTTGTAGTAGTTGTTTTTTTCATAGCCTCTCAGCGGCCAGCACACGGCGAAAGCGCAGCCGATGCTGCTGGTTTTCTCTGCAACCATCTGAAATCAAGTATCGCTCTGTAAGTAATTGAGTCATGAGTTCATTGAGAATTGTTTACTTGTGTATAATGGAGGTACGACATCATGACTCCAGAGGGCAGCGGACCGTACCGAAAATCGTAGTGTTCATCAAACCAACTTTGAGACATACTTTTCACGAGTTTCAGCACAACGTCCTTCGTGTACACAGTGTCTAGTGGAGCGGACTCGAAAGCCAGGTTCTGGCCAAATTTACCGTAATAGGGTTCCTTTTTACGCGTATCATGTTCGAATTCGCACGAACGAGCCAAATCCACTGCAAGCTCTTCCAGAGTGTCGTTCCACGCCTGGAAATAAATGAGTCACCTGATGATGTTTACTATTATACCCTATTTCTATTTGGAGCTCTTTTCAGTGAGGAACATCATACTTCTGAAAGCGGTGAATTCTCACTCACCATTGGTGTTCTTATTTATTCCATGACGCAGTGAGCAACGGGAATATTAATCGCATAATTATTTCTATTTTGCTGGTCGCACTACACTAGAGCGCGGCCGGCTGCATGTTAGTTGTTATTGCAAGAGTGATAGGGGAGAACGAAGGGTGTTAGTAGTAGGTTACCGAAAAATAGGATTGTCAAAAAACAACACTGTTCACGGTAAAGCCACGGTTTCAGTGTCTGTGAAAAATATTTACTTAATCTGAAATTTACAGAAAATTCATAGCTACTTATGGGAGTATTACATTAATCAGCCTTCTTCCTCCTGTATAACGAATCAATCGGTCATACGAAATAAGTGTTATACGAAATATAGCTAAAAGAAAACATGTCACAGAGCTGTTCGCCATAGGCCAAAAAATATTTTCAAATTTTCATTAAATTATGAAGGCATTGAACTGAACAAAATAACCTTACCCATATTTCGATACGAATTATTTCACTGATTTGAACAGGGGTGCATTTCTTTTCGAGAATTCAAGTGTTAGAAAGGTGTTGCATTCTCCTCATTTTCTGACAATCAGTCATTCACTCATTATCTTAAGCTCATTCTGCCAATGTGTAGTCGTCCTCCGTTGTTGAAGACTTTACATGCTTTTTTGGGAATTGCGGAAGACGCATAGCAGACCCTGCATTCAAGTTGTGTTATCTGGAGGCCATTCGCGTGCTTATGCAGTTGCGGCAAAAACGACATGTCACTCCAACTTTGATTCTCACAGTCAATCTTAAAGTTAATCCTCCTTAAATGCTCAATGAGGCGTTCCTTATATGCGTTAGTTTTGTTTTCCAAGGCATATGTAATTAATATAGCACCCAA